ACAAATGGTTACCATGGGCCTCAAACAAGCAAACATAATGTTGAAGAACTTATTACTACGCCTTGCATTCAACAGAGACTAGAAACATATAGAGAATCAAAGCAGGTCAGAATAGGTAAATTTCTGGCTTATTTGCATAACAGACAAGATGAATATCTTGAAAGAATGTGCCCAAAAGTGATGTGAAAGTATACTTGTTGCATGAAACCTCCCAAACTTAATACTTCAGAATTTGAAAACAGAATAAAGCAGTTGTGTGAGGCCATTCATAAAGAAAGGAAATCAACCAACCATCACCTGTAAGTTGATGCATTTGATGAATCAGAACCTTAATTATGCAGTGATATCTATGTGATTAAAATATCCTTTCATTAAAAACAATCTAAATTGCTTCAAAAGATGTAGAGCAGTTTTTAGTTTGCAGTATGAAGTATAGCTTTGGAAATTGTGTGACGTGCCATGTATAGGAATGTCATAATAAAACAATATTTGGGGTTTTTGAAAGCAATTCAGGATATGTGATTGGTCTAGAGACCTCATGCATCAACCACTCAGATACAAAATTAAAACAGATTACTTGTGTTTTGCCTGGAGTTGAGGTCATTTGCATGCTATTACTTTATTACTTGGACGATGGTCAACACTTCAGTTTAGGTTTCAGTCAACTAAAGAGTGCCCTAAATTAAGTTGCCATATGCAAAAACAAAAACTGTCCAAAAAATGTATTTTCTACTAAAGTCGACATAGCTAAGTTACACACATTTTTACAAGCAAGGAATCAAAGAAACCAGTTTGTGATTATTCTAAGGATGACAACTTCTTCTAAGGAAGGGTTTTTATTTGTTTTTAAGCCTTTAACTCCCAAGATCCAATTAGTTATTCTCCTTACTGTTTGCTACACAGTTCTCGTGATGTTAGTTTGGAGAATTTGGTATTGGATCAACTTATCATCCCCAAATTTATATTTTTCTTTTTTTCTCCTCACTTGTCTGCTTCATATTGTTTTGAGATTGTAAGGAGAAATTCTGTCACGGTCACTCCTGGGAGTAAAAGGGTTAAAGAGGACTTAAAAAGTAATACTCTTGAAGGAAATTTGGGGGGGGGGGGGGTAACATATTGGAAAACTGACATAATAAATGAAATATCTATGTTCTCTGTTCTGAGGAAGAGGACTGTACTGGAAAATTTTTATTCAATATCAAGAATGGAGTTAATTTTAAGCTAACTAATTGTAACAAATTAATAACTATATAAAATATTTTAATTGTTCCTTTCCATTTCTTTCCAATGGTAATCGAATTTAAGGGAATCCATAGATGAATATTACAAAATAAAACTAATTATTTATTTTACTTTATCATTGTCTCAGCTTTGTAATAAGTAGTCTTTAGCCCTGCCTGTGCAATTGTAAGATTACTTGTGCTTTCAATTATTAGTATTGTGGGGAGTCTTAGTACCATATATAATGAACTGATAAAATTAAACCGCCCTATGCTGAAAACTTAACTGAGGTGGCGGTCTTCATTGGACAGGAAAATTTTGGCATCATGACACAGCAGTCATGAGGATTCTCTGAAATTATCTGAAACTATCATTTCAAGAATGTTTCCATGAGCAGAAATATCTTAATGCATTTATTTCACAAATAACAGATGACTGGACATCCTAGGGAATCAAGACATATTCCCCACAAGAATTAAAAAAGCAACACCATGTTATCGTCACAAAACTTCTTCTGTCATCATATTCATTCTTATCTTCTTTGGCTCATCGAGACCTGCCCCTTATCACTAAAAACTAGAGTTTGATTGTTGCTTTATTAATAACCTCTTACTTGCAATATTTAATTTTTCAATGATTGATCATTCTTTAGGGGGTCCAGAAGGGGGTTTAGAGAAGGGTCCTGAAGAGATGCTATACCACTACAGAGTCACTTGACGCTTTTACAGTGTTACACTTGATACACGTGTTTGTTCGGGAATTGCATTGTGATAAAAAAAAGCTCCAAGTCATAAACAAGGAAAGTACAACTGATTGTTAGAAAATTGAATTTTTCTGTGGTGTAAGGAATTAAAATGATTTTTTCGAACACAAAAGTTACGCATAAATTTGCAAACGACGACTTTCGAACTCGCAAACAATTATGCGACCACTCTTTAACACTGTTAATAAAGCAGGCCGTTTAATTTGTCTTGGGTCCATTTCCTCTCTGGCAAACTTGCCCGCAAATTTTCCACCCAGCGTAAATATTTGCACGTCATCACGATATTCACAACAGACTAAAAGGTGACCTGTTTTGTCCACTGCCAGTCCAGTTGGGTGATTAAATTCTCCATGCCTTGTACCATATTTGCCGAATTCGTATAAAAAGTGCCCCTTTTCACTGTAAACCTTTACGAGGTGAGCATCTCGATCGGATACAAAGATTTTGAGGTCATAGCACAGGCAGTCAAGTGGCCATTGTAACCGGCCCTTTCCTACTGTCCTAAGAATGTTACCACCAGGAGAAAAAAACTTGACACACTTATTCCCGGTATCACAAACAACGAGATTGCCCGTTGAATCAAGGCAAATTCCCCGAGGATATCTTAGTAAGCTGTCTTCAGTTGCAGTTGAAATTAATTCACCATTTTGATGAAAACATGATATTTTGTTACTGCCTCTGTTAGCCACATAAATCTTACCTTCATTGTCTACACTTATCCCTGTGGGCTGATTGACCTGATTCTGTCCAAAGGTCCTAATACACTGTCCATCTTCATTAAAGACTAAAATTGTGTTATTTTCTACATCAGTAACAAAAATCTCATCTAAATTGTTAACAGTCACTCCCCACGGCTGACCAAAATGTTTTTGTTCTATAAATCCAATGCTCTTGAAGGTTCGTTCTCCTACGTCAATTAGTGGAAGCTCCTTCAGCTTTTCACCATTTACCATAACAGTTGCTAGATGCTGTCCAGCTTCACCTGGAATAAAGGAAATTGCGTAGCTGCCATTATTTTCGTCAACGATCCTCACATCTGCAGCGGTTTTTCCACTCTGAGCTGACTTGATTTCTGCAGTGATATAGTCCCCTGGGCAATAGTACTGTTGTTTCATAGAGTTACGCGTGATAACTTTGAACTTGGATTCTAACCCCGCAGTTGCTTCTTCAGATAATTGTATTGAACATTGATCTGTGTCAGTTGCAGTTTCATCTAAGCGACCGAGTTTCTCTTCATGAAGTCTCTCGTGAATTTCTTGATTTTTTAAGAATACAGTCTGAAATATTTTTCTGTCTGTGGGTAATGGAATCTCGAGTGGATCACTGTGCCCTTGAAATATTTCTTCTACGGATTTTTTTGTCCTGACAATTTCTGCTCCAGTGCTCCGTTTGAGAAGGCGAGTTACTTGTGAAACGATCTCTTCGGTCCTCGTCAGGTGATCTTGAAGTTTTCCTTTTTCTTTCATTAGTTTTTCTTGTGCTTCCTTAGTTTGATTTTCTACGTCGGTTACTAATCCTCGCTCTTGTTCTTGCAGAGTCTGGATAAGATTTTTGACCGTTTCTTGTACCTGTAGTTTGATAATTTGGGAGTGAATTTCGAGAAGATGACTCTGTTCCTCACGTTCACGAACGAGTTTTGCAATTGTATCGGATAATTTCTTAGCATCTTCAAGCTTGGACGTAATACTGTTCTTAACAGAAGTTAAAACTTTTTCCAGTGGCTCCACATCATGTTTGCAGTGTTCCAAAGCCAAACAATTTTTGCAAACGGGAACTTGGCAAACTTTACAATAAAACTTCAGCACTTTTCTCTCGTGGAAATCTTTGGAACAAAATGCTGGTCGTCTAATGACATCTTCAAAGTCCTCATCTTGAAAATCTTTGAGGGATAGCACACGATGCTCTTTGTGTTCCTTTAAAATGTTATGTCCGATCAAACATTCCTTGCACCAGAACTTACTACAATGAAAACAATAAGATGCTTCGTTTCCTTTTATGTCGCAGTTTCCACATGTCACCTTTGATGTGTTGCACTCTTTGATGGCCAGAATATCCAGCAGATTTTTCAAGTAGAAACACTCAGGCAGAGTTTCCATTGTGCCACAATTGGGTACAGCGACTTCAATCTGGCAGATAGGACATTTAATCTTGCCTTGGCGAGCGTTCGTCCTTGCCAAGCGATTCAGACATTCAAGACAGAAAATGTGTAAACATGGCAGCTGCTTTGGTTCCTTAAACAAGTGAATACAAACAGAACAGGTTACCTCTTCCCTTAGGTTGTGCATTAGAGTTGGGACATCCATTTTTAAACTACTGGGATGAAGCAAAAATTTCAGGTCGTACGAAAGGATGACTAATTAACTGGTTTTCAGAATTTTAGAGAGCGTCTTTCCTAGAAACGAGGACTATTATTAGCCCCTCTTGTTTTTTATTGGCTGCTTTTGGTCTACGCATCACGCGAACCAGTTATTGATCACGGGAACTTGATGGTTGATTGATCTTCTTCGATTGAATCTTTTATTAATCAAGGGAATCTTTGCTTGTAAGTTCCATTTAGTAATATCTTAACCTTTTTTATAAAATTCTCCTCAACGTTTGATCAGTTCCATAACATGAATTCCAAACCGCCTATCAAATTCAGCTCAAAGTATATTTACTTTCTCGTGCTCAAACTTATGATGATCCAGGAAAAAGGACCGTGGAAAATGAGCTCATTTTGGTAACAGTATATCTCACGGTTGAATTCATTTTTTGACGCTAGAAGCTGAGACGAAAAAATCTAGCCGTTAGCGTAAAAATTCATAAAATTTAACCGTTAGTCGTAAAAAAAAAAAGTAAACCGTAAAAATTTTTCTTTTAATCACAAAGGAAGAAAGTTAACCGTTAGCCGTAAAAACCATCAACCCATTGTGATCCTTTGATCGTGACGTTAATCGTTTTGCGGGCGCTTGCTAAATCGGGGCGCGAGTGATTTAGTCTCGCACGAACTAGCAAGAATCGCGCGTGTCACTCGAGATCTCGCCTAAGATGCATGACCAATCAACACTGAATAAGAGGAAACAATTTAACTTTAATTCATGCTATTTTACATCAAGTGCACCTCGTTGTTCTGGTTTAACGCAGAGCGAACGGTATCTCCTGTTTACATTAAATGATCTCTAATATCATAAAAATGTTTAAGTCAAAAAAAGGGACGATCATGCCTGTCAAATTTAAAAATAGAAAAAAATAAATGGGTACATGAGATTTGTTCCTGAAACATTTCTTTAAGTCTCACGCAAAAATTTGTAAGCGGTCGTTTCCGAACTCGCAGACAACGATATGACCGCTTTTAAGTAGAGATATGGAAGTGGGTCGACCAAGTTGTCCTAAATCTTTTCCAGGCGTACCAAATTTTGACACAAATGTGCCCTCGAAAGTAAACATCTGTATCTTATGACTATGCTCGGAACAGATCAAGAGGTGTCCTGTTTTGTCTACTGTTAGTCCCGTAGGGTGGTACAGTTCCCCGTCCCTAGTCCCACGCCCACCAAATTCATGCGAAAGTTTTCCATCCTTACTGTAAACTTTGATCATGTGACCCTCACGATCAGAAACAAAGATTTTGTCCTCATAGCACACACAGTCAAAAGGCATTCGAAAACAACCCTCTCCGAAAGTACTTAAAACTTCTCCTTGAACGGAGACGATTCTGACACACTTATTTCCCGAATCACACACAATAAGGTGACCTTGGGAATCAAGGGATATCCCGCGGGGATCTTTCAGTGAGCCTTCACTGATGACAGTTGAGACATAATCCCCGTCTGGATCAAGAAGCAATATTTTATTACTTGTTCTGTTTGCGACAAAAATCCCACCATTATTGTCAACGCTTATCCCTGTTGGTCCCTCAAGAAAATTTTCTCCAAACGATCTGACGAAGTTCCCTTCGTCATTGAACACTAGTACTCGATTATTGTCCATGTCAGTAACAAAGATATCGTTTGAGTTATTTACAGTCACTCCCCAGGGGGAGTTCAATTTTTTTTCATCTATGCTTTGTTCTCCAAAATGTACTATAGGCTTGAAAGTGCGTTCTCTGATGTGTATGGGGGGAAGATCTCTGATAGTTTCTCCGTTGATGCCCACAGATAACACATGCTTTCCAGCTTTACTTGGAATGAATGAAATTTCGTACCTTCCATCATTCTTGTTCACGAAGTTTAATTCAGCTACAGGTTTCCTGCTTTGTGTGCCCATAATTTCAACAGCAATGTCATCCGCAGAGGAGTAGAACTGTTCCCCGGTAGAATTTCTCGTAATCACTTCAAACTTTGTCTCCAGTCCCGCGGTAACTTCGTCACCATCACGAACCAAACACTGCTTTACGTCTGTTTCAGTTGTAGTGGTATATAGGTGACCAATTCCCGACTTCTGAAGTCCTTTAATGACTTCGTGGTTTTTCAAGAAGACAGTTAAACTCTTCTTTTCAATGACTGGAGGCTGAATCTCTTGTGGCTGTCCAAGTTGCTGAAAAAGCTCATCTATGACTGTTTTCGTTGTTACAAGTTCTGCTTCTGTGCTACGTTCAACGAGGCGTTCAATATGCGCGATCGCTTTCTCGCTCTTGCTCAATTTTTCTTGAAATTCACGTTTGCGTTTCATGAGGTCTTCTTGTGTTTCGTTGCTCTGTTCTTCCAGTTGGGTCACTAGATCACGTTCTTGTTCCTGTAGAGTGACGATTAAAGACTTGAAGGTTTCCTGAATCTTTCCTTTGACAAGTTGGCGCCGCCGATCTGTCAGACTAAATTTTTCATCTAGTTTTCGTATATAATCTGAAAATCTCCGACATGATTTCTTCACAGAGTCGAGTTTACAATCAATATTGTTCTTCACCGCCTGTACAGTTAGTTCCAAATGTTCTACATCGTGTGTACTATGCTGGAGAGTTACACAATTCTGGCAAACAGGTATTTGACACATTTTACAAAATAAATTGAGAACTTTCCTCTCGTGAAGGTCTTCCTGGCAAAACGCCGGTCGTCTTACAACATCCTCGAAATCTTCTTCTTTAAAATCTCTTAATGCGATAACACGGTGTTCTTTGTTTTCCTTCAAAATGTCATGACCATTTAAACAGTCTTTGCACCAAAACTTGCTACAGTGAAAACAGTAAGACACTTCGTCGCTTTTCTCGTCGCAGTTTCCACAAGTCACCTCCGATGTGTTGCATTCTTTGATGACCAAAAGATCCAGTAGATTTTTCAAGTAAAAACAGTCTGGCAGAGTTTCCATTGTGCCACAATCGGGTACGGCGACTTCAATCTGGCAGAGAGGACATTTAATCTGGCCTTGATGAGCATTCGAGTTTACCAAGCCGTTCAGGCATTCAAGGCAAAAAATATGTAAACATGGCAACTGTTTGGGTTCTTTATAAAGATGAATACACACCGGGCAGGTTAATTCTTGCTTAAGGTTTTGTATCAGAGTTGAAACATCCATTTTAAAATCTTGTCGCGAAGAAGCGCTAGTTTAGAGATTTTGCCAGAGGTAGAGTCTCGTGATTTTTATTATGCACATGACTCCATTGTGAGATCGTGTATGACTCACCTGCTCTCTTGAATTCTATCACAAGTACCAGTCAGGCACTAATCACGGGACAACCTCGTTCCAAAGATCATCTCTCCTTGCCGCTCAACCTCAACTCTGAAACGAGGTTAACCATGTCGACCTGAAAGTGGTCACGCAAAAAGGAATAATTACGCAAACCAGGGAACAGTCACGCAATCCGCACATCTACCACGTGGACGCAATTTGACATATCATGACTCCCGGGTAATAAGTTTCTCGGCAATGCAACATTATCTTGTCATTTCAAGCCTGAAATGATCAAGAGCAAACTTTCCTTGGAGTTCTTGCCATTTGATTTATTGATTAACTGTTTGAGCAAACAAAAAACGTTCAAATGCGGCTTCTCCTTTCGTGCACACCGCTTTTTTACCAAGTGTTGATTTTTTCCCCGCAAAGTGATACAAATACTTCAGTATACGTAGAAATGTTCCATAATAGCATAACACTAGGTGTGTTATCTAGTGTAACGGCAATGTTTAGTGTAAGGGTCTACAAACAAAAAAAGGCTTCTCGTGAACACTGTAA